ATACTACATTACATTATTGGCATTTAGCAGAAACTCTTATCTAGAGCGAATTACATCAATTACAGGTTTTTACAATGTTATCCATTTATACAGCTGGATATTTACTGAGGCAATTGTGGGTTAAGTACCTTGCCCAAGGGTACATCAGCAGTGCCCCTGTAAGGAATTGAACTGGCAACCTTTCGGTTATGAGTCCTGCTCCTTAACCACTATGCTATGCTAAGAAATATAATTTAAATATTGGCATAATCAACTATTATTATTGGTATGATTGTCTCACACTGTGTATTGCTCACTGGTAACATTGCTTTAGCAATAATGTATACTGAGAACCCGGTAAATACAATTATGTATTGAACATAATTTGATTTAAATTTCTCTGGAGGTGGAGGTAGTGCTGTGTACGGTGGGGGGGCAAAGGGGATCAGGTACCTTTTCTCTAGGTCACAGTCCCCCAGGGTCCCGTTGATCAGCTGGTTGGGGGTCCACTTTAGGGTGAGGTTTTCCCCTGCCTGGTGGAGGGACAGGTATCCCCTCAACACCTCCATATCCTTTTTCTGGGGACCAGAGAAAGAGGAGAGGAAGATAGAGGGAGACGGGGAGGGAGAGGGAGAGAGGGACAGAGTGAGGGATAGAGAGATGGACAAGGGAGGGAGAGAGGGACAGAGAGGTGATGCACAGCTTGGCTGAAATATAGTCCTCCTCAGCCAGCCTGGCAGAATGATGGCTGCAGCAGGATTTAAATATCTGCTTTCACACAGAAATCTAATTAGAGGTAAATCTTCCTCTCTCCCCACTGGCCCTCCTCATTTGAAGTATTGATTGTCACACAGTTGTGCCAACCCCTCAGAGCACCGCACCCAGATCCATCACAGAGTGCTGGCAACTCAGAGAATCAGCTGTACGGCCGTATATATCCCCAAAGGCAAAAGACAACATCGTTGCTGAGGCAAGAGAGGGAGAAAGAGAGGGAGAGAGGGAGAGGGTGAGAGAGGGGAGAGGAGAGAGGAGAGAGGGAGAGAGGGAGGGAGGGAGGAGAGGGTGAGAGAGGGAAGAGGAGAGAGGGAGGGAGGAGAGAGGAGAGAAGGAGAGGATAGAGGGAGAGGAGAGAGGACAGCAAGAGAGAGGAAGAAAGGGAGAGCAAGAGAGAGGGAGAAGGAGAGGGAGAGAAGGAGAGAAGAGAGGAGAGAGGGAGAACGAGACAGGGAGAGAGGGACCATGCTTGTTCAGAGGCTACTAGGTTGCCTCATGGTCTCATAGGTAAGGATTTTCCAGAGAGGACAGTATACAGAGGCTAATTAATATTCCTGACTCCCCTTCCTCCCACAGTATTGGATTTGTGTGTCAGAATGCATTTTTGGGCCATGTGAGTGACTGGGGGTCAAAACCAATCCCCATCGCAGCAATCATCCCACACAAAGGCCTATGGGAAACGTGTGATTCAGCGTGCATGTAATGTGTGTGTGTAAATACATGTATACAAGCATGTATATGTATGTGTGTGTGTGTGTGTTTCTATGAATGTGTGTGTATGTATATATGTAAATATGTACATATCAGGGTTTCCGTTATCTGGTAATTACCGGTTTTTGCCTGGTAAAATTTATAAAAATTAACCGATAAATTAAAAACTTGCCGGTCAAAATGTCCGGTAATAATGCTCATACAAGACGTAGCTAAAACGAAGGCTATCCCTAAACAGGACATTTGTCTTTTGACAGCAAAACAGCCTATTAACAGCCTACAGTACTTTTTTCCCAAAAGGGTGCGATCTTTTTTTGCTTGATACTTCCTACTAGGCCAGCAGAGAGGGGCTTCTCTCTGCAGAATTGAATTAAGACGGTGCTGCAAAGTTGTCTGGAGGAGGAGAGAGTGATACGGCTTATGCGCATTGCAAGCTGCAAAGACACATTGGACACGTTTGATTTCAAGTCAGCAGCAGACAGCACTTTGTCACAATGAAAAAAAGGAGAAAATGAAATGTTATCTGGTAGCCTATAGGCTACATTTGATGCCATGTAGGCCTAGCCTTTTTTTAAATCAGGCCACAGATGTTACAGGTTACAGATGTTTTGTAATAGCCTACATTTTAGCAGCTAATGTTGAGGTTTTGCTCAATCATTACTGTTTGTTTTCCTTAATCGTTACTGTTCATTAAATAGTCAGACTGATTTGAGGTTGCTGTCATTCTTTCGCCAACCTAGGTGTATGTTGTATTTGCGTTTGTAACACAGACTGTTATTGAAATGTGACTGGTAAGTTTCAGATTTGTCCAGTAAAATAAATTCTTTCCGAACACCGGACCGGAAAGAAAAAATCCTAGCGGAAACCCTGGTACATATGTGTACGTACATATGTATATGTATGTGTGCATGCATGTGTGCGCGTGTGTGTGTGTGTGTGTGTGTGTGTGTGTGTGTGTGTGTATGCGTGTGTGTGTGTGTGTGTGTGTGTGTGTGTGTGCACGTGTGTGTGTGTGTGTGTGTGTGTGTGTGTGTGTGTGTGTGTGTGTGTGTCCTGGCTCACCGGCTGCACCAGCACGTTGTTTTTCCCGTACAGCAGGTGTGTGCGTGAGTTCTGGTGTAGTGACTCTACATATTCCCGCGCCGATGCCGCAAAGCGGTCCTCCGCCATGCTCCCACTGGACTGCCGCTTCCGGATCTGAGAGAGGGAACATCATGTCACAGAGATTGCTGGCTCACCGGGTTCTGTGCCACCTCACTATTTTACATTTCTATGACACCGGTGTCTGTGGGTCGCTCGCTCTCTCACCCCCAAAGCGGGTCTCCGGCCAGGGGATGGGTCTGTCCCCCGATGGGCCCCGTGGATCCGGTGCCGCTGGACCAGCTCGTTAGCAGACGGGTCGGTCCAGAAATGGTCGGACGTCTTCAGCTTGGTGTACTCTAGAGCACAGGGCCCGACTGAGAGACAGGGGAACACATAGTAGAGGGACATTTACATTTACTTATAATAGGTTTACATTTACTTTTACATTTAATAGAGTAATACAGTCTCAGAAAAAACAGTACAGACACATAAAATATCAGAGTACATTTGAAGGTTTACCAAAGATACAACTCTGAAAATTGTGAAGTATCGGTGTATAGCCCTGTAAGTGAACATGTGGCATAGATTTAGGAACTCTGAAGGTGTGTGTGTGGTATATGTGCGTGTGTGCTGTAGGTGTGTGTGACAGGTGTGTGTACAGTGTACTGGGAGATGTGGGACTCACCAAGTAGAGCTGCCAGAATGGGGCCACAGACTGAGTCGTGCATCAGGGCCTCCTTCTCATAGTACTTACTGCAGAGACACACAACGGCAGTGCTCACTCACACACACTGCCCACAGAAACAGCCCTCCCCCTCAGTCTAACCCCACACAGCAAAAAACAAAACCTCGCAGGCCATTAGCCCTAATGCAGCCTGGGCCACCTCCATTAGCATCTACATCAAACAGGGGATCACATTGCAGCCTTTCATCTGGTCATTACTGAGAACACAGGCTGTAGAGCGTGTCTCGGAAAATGGACCAACCAGCACAAAAAGCAAACAGAGGCAGTCACCAAGAGCAGGAAAACACACAGGCAGCATTCTTCTGCGCGGACTTTCAGAAAAGTCTGACAGAACTCCCTAAGGAAAGCAAAAGGGGGCGGAGGGGGTGGAGGGGAACCTTTTGAGTCAGAACTGCAGTGCTGCCTTACCTGGAGTTGTCCACAATGTATTGGACAATCTTATCCAGCACCTTCTCGAAAAGCGCAGTGCGCACCCAGATATGCTTGATAGCCTGGGCGGAGAGGGGCTGGGGGGCACGGCCGGCACTCGAACCCTGCCTCCTCAGGGGTTCCTGCCCTGTGCTTTGCATTCTTCTGAGAGAGAGGAGGGAAGGGTGGGGGGGGAGAGGGGGAAAGACAGAGAGGCAGAGAGAGAGGTCACATTTCTCAGTGTCACAAGATCGTACTGAAAGCAATATCAGTTCTACCACCAGGTGGCAGTGTGGCACAGGGCAGACCCTCAAAGCTGAATCGCATGCTGACTCCTCTGCTGCTCAGCTGGTGGGTGAAACAAAAGGTAAAAGGCAAAAGATTCCAGTTTAAGGGCTTGCTAATCAAAACCCACAAAGCCACAACCTGGAGCTGTCCCAGAAGTCTCAGCAGTCGGGTAACTCTCCTCCATTATGCTCAGGCCTCTCAAACTGTACACCAACTGGCCTTTGATCACCTTTCCACAAAGGCAAACAATCTAAACTCGGCCATTTCCATGGAAGAAAGACTGGCATTACAAGACGAAAGCGCAGCAGTTCTGAACACTCTCAACTCAGCAAAGGAGCCTGGAGGCCTAGGGTAGTGGTCCCACAGGGTTTGGAGGGACAGCTCGTCCAGAAAATCACTCAGACCTGTGCTGGAATGACTCCTGACCGAGACAAGTGGAGACAGATGTGAATAAATTAGCAAAGGAGTGCCAGGACTGAGCCCATCTATTAGGAGTGCAGCCATTAATGCCACATTGAGAAGTAAATTAGCCATTTTCCTCTGGAAGATAAATTCACATGCTACTTCTGACTAACCCCAACAAGGAAAGCAAAGTCCTACACTTTTAAACAAATGTTCTCAGAGAAACTGTTCTCTGTGAAAACTTTGGGCTAAAATATTCACTCACACTGCAAGCTGGCCTGATGTTTACAAAAACAGATTCAGATGGGTAAAGCCCATATGCAGAATACAGTCTTGCTGCACTGTTAGCCACAGTACATGGTATTTGTAAATGCGTGGACATTTTGATGAGGTCAACTTTCTTCTGACATTTAAAAGTGAACTGAACCGAAACACGACTGCATTAGCACCCCCTGTTGAATTGGAGTGTTGGGTTTTCCCCAAACATGGTCAGGTTGGTGAGGTATCAACCCACAATGTGCGGGTTCCATGGGGCACATTACTTTAATGCTGTGTGCACGTTTCCACATGGCTTTGTTTCCCTTTCCCCCAGCCTTTAATAAGCCATCATTTCAGTGTAGCATAGCGGTAAGGTGCATGGCTCATAACCGAAAGTTTACTGGTTCGATTCCCTATTGAGGTACTGCTGCTGTACACTTGCGCAAGGTTCTTAACCCAGAAGTGCCTCAGCAAATAATCAGCTGTATAAATGGATAGTATGTAAAACTGTAACCTTTGTAAGCTGCTCTGGGTAAGGGTAACTGCTGAACAGCAATAATGTAATGTAATAACTGCAGCTTCGTCCATAGCTTCCTGAAGTGTTTTGACGGACATGGGAAAATGAATCAAAAACAGCTCTTCACACCAGAGCCAATAGGGACAGTGGGGTTTGTAGCGGCTGCCTTCTCCTCCTTCTCCCAGTGCCCTCTCCCTGGTAATCTCCAGCAGCTGCGGCGGTAATCAGATGCAGCTCTGCACAGCCCCTGCTGTCACGATTCCCACTCTCAGAGCCACTCCAGGCCCAGGGAGGCTCCTCACAGCACAGATGAAGCAACCGGCCTGGCCATCCCCCACAACACCAGGCAACGCCCAAGGATCAAAAACAGGGAGATAAAAGATTGCGGCACAGGTTGCTGGAAATGGCCTGCGGGAAAAGGGCACTACACATCCATTTCCAAAAGGGGGAGCTGTTCAGAGCCACCTCTGACTCTGTAATGCCTCCTATTCAGATGTGGCTCTTCCCAAAAGGTGCTGTTTGCTTATTCTACACAGAGTCTGACACTCCCTGATAATGGCTGTTTCACAGTGACCGCATACACAGCCAATATTTTACAAAATATGCCAGCGAGCAGTCAGAGATGGACACACTGGGAAGTGAGGAACATTAAATAATTTAAGGGTGACTTTTTAAGGGTGACAGCAAGAAAAACAGATGACCATAGCAGCCTCTTTTTTGTTATCTGGAAGCTTAACAAAAATCAGCATTAGCTCTCTGGGGCAAGTGTGCTGGTGTATATTTGTCTGTAAAGATTTGTCCTGCCAGCTCTGTGCTTGAGAGGGAATTGAGAACAAAGTGAAAGCTGCATTTACAAAACAAGAGAATTATGACTATGAAACCGTCAGCCCCTGCTGTGAAGCCCAGCTCTGGCCTTGTGCTGCAGTGTTGGTGTGTGTGAGGAGGCTGATGGTGCATGGATGCTGGTATGAAGATGCTGGTGTGTGGATGCTGGTATGTGTGGGGATGCTGGTGTGGAGATTCCAGGGTGGGGCACTACCTGAGCGCTCAGAGGTTTGGTTGCTGTGGGAAGATTAGCACTGGCCACCTTCAACAACATGGCTGACATAGGCTAGCAGAGGAGCAGCTCAATCTAAAGCACATTAATATCAGCCCTGATCCACTGTTTGCAGCTAGTAATCAGTATCTCTATCAGTATCGCTGTATGCCTAACCTTTTCAATGTAAACAATACAAATGAATGACAAGAACTTAACATCATATCAGCAGGTTATTTTAAATTTACTTTGTGAAATAAAAAAGAATCCTTAAACCTGTGTGAGGAGTAACTTTTTGCTTTGGCAGTACATCAGTGTTCAGAGCAGTGTTTAGGAATATATCCTTTTAATGATTAAAACTGCACTATTGAGGGTGGAGTCAATGAGGCCTTTGAGACTGTTTTTGTACAAAAATTAGCTTGGCCCTCATACGGGGCCAATGCCACGCCCAAATCACATCCAAGCCACACCCATCTCACACCCAAGCGCTGTCAGGGTCACAGCCCGTACACTGCTCTTTTGCCTCTGATGTTGGAGTGTTTCTTGCTCAGCATCCTGCAACATTCAGATAACCCAATTTAACACTAAACTGTTCCGCTAAATTACATCTGCTCTCCAGCAAGGAGGTGGGGGGTTGGGGGTAGTGTAGCGAATTGCCTGCATCAGCTCATCAGGCCTAATCGCATTTTAGACCTCTGAGAATCACATAATCAAACCAAAACAAAGCAAATGAAGAAGAAAAAAATAACAACAGCAACGATGAGCATGGGATCGGTCACAGACTTGGGGAAAAGGGGGGCTCCTTACCTCATGTGGGGTAGTGTTCACACGCCTGCTTCCTTTATTAACCGTATCAGAATTATACACCATAATCTCTCCATGTTTGAAATTAATTTGTGTCCTTAATCACTGGCACTCCAGGTTTCCTGTCCTCCCTCTCCTGATGGTGACATATGATGATGTAACCATGGCAACATGAGTAACCAAGAGAGGGAGCCCCAGTTGGAATAGGGGTGATATTGGAGGGGGGGTTGGGGGGTGTGCTTGAGCAGGACAGGGAGGGGGAAAGTGAACACCGTGCTGGCTTTGGTTCAGTTCTCAGTTTCTCCTCTGCAGAGGAGTAGGGATTAAGGCTGAGATCTGGGATAGCAATAAAGAGCAGCAGAGATATCCCCCATCTCACACCAGCATAATGCAGACTGCATTGGCCAAACAAGGAGATCACTCACATCTCAACACAACAGGGCATCTTCTATACAGTGGCACAGATAGACCAAGGGTCAGGCAACAACATCTACATGTGTCCACCTGATCCACAGGTCTGTGTTGGAGTGGAAGTGCTATATGTTGGTATGGATGTGTTGTGTGTTGGAGATGATGGTGTGGATGTGCTGTGTGTTGGTATGGATGTGCTGTGTGTTGGTATGGATGTGCTGTGTGTTGGAGATGATGGTGTGGATGTGCTGTCTGTTGGAGATGATGGTGTGGACGTGCTGTGTGTTGGAGATGATGGTGTGGATGTGCTGTCTGTTGGAGATGATGGTGTGGATGTGCTGTGTGTTGGTGTGGATGTGCTGTGTGTTGGAGATGATGGTGTGGATGTGCTGTGTGTTGGAGATGATGGTGTGGATGTGCTGTCTGTTGGAGATGATGGTGTGGATGTGCTGTGTGTTGGTGTGGATGTGCTGTGTGTTGGAGATGATGGTGTGGATGTGCTGTGTGTTGGAGATGATGGTGTGGACATGCTGTGTGTTGGAGATGAGGCTGTGGAAGTGCTGTGTGTTGGAGATGAGGGTGTGGATGTGTTGTGTGTTCATGTGGATGTGCTGTGTGTTGGAGATGATGGTGTGGATGTGCTGTCTGTTGGAGATGATGGTGTGGATGTGCTGTGTGTTGGAGATGATGGTGTGGATGTGCTGTGTGTTGGAGATGATGGTGTGGACATGCTGTGTGTTGGAGATGATGGTGTGGACATGCTGTGTGTTCATGTGGATGTGCTGTGTGTTGGTGATGATGGTGTGGAAGTGCTGTGTGCTCAGGAGCTGCATCTGACCTGGTGGCCTCGGCTTGCTGCTGCAGCTGCTCCTGCACCCTCTGGCACACCTCCCCCGCCGTGCTGTTCACCTTCCCAATCTTAGTGAACAGGGCAGCGATCTTATCACTGCGTAGGAAACCAGCTGCTCTACGCTTCAGCATGTGTGTCAGGCAAGCCTCAATGGTACCTACAGGAGAAAGGGAAGGAGGGAGAGAGAGAGACGAACTGAGGTTTGGATTTTAACGTGACTTCAATTGTTAAAACCATCGAGAGAGAGAGAGAGAGAGAGAGAGAGAGAGAGAGAGAGAGAGAGAGAGAGAGAGAGAGAGAGAGAGAGAGACAGAGACAGAGACTGAGACACAGAGAGGAAAAAGGAAACATACCTTAGTTAATGTACTGTATTTAAAGTCATTTTCAAAAGTTGCATGAATTCTTCTATTTCAGAAAATTGTTCCTGGGTAGTTTTGATCCCACATCAGCATGATTCTTGCAGGAGAAAATCATTTACTTTACAGACATGGTGCAATATCTCTCTGTAAAGTTTTTGCTTTTTCCCTGTTGTTTTTGTTTTTATTGAGACTCCAAGTGGGCACATGCTCAGCTGTGTGAAGCAGAGCTCTGGCAGTCACAGCACAGCTCTGGAATGCTGTAACCTTCGGCAACATGGCCCGGCCCAAGCAGTCTTCTTAAATATTTAAAGCCAGGAGCACACAGGAGAAATAGCCTGTTGAAGGTCTTTGAGATGGTACTCCTGGGGCAATGAGCTTACATATTTTATGAGCAGGACAACAGCCACACTTCAGCCACTATAGATCTATTAAAATCCAGGGTCTGGAAAGTAGAATAAATTAGAGAGTTAACACCCAGCAGCAAAGATGTAGCTGAGCTCTGAAGCAGATGGCTAATCTATGAGCTTGACTTGTAATGCTTCGGGACCCACACAGAGGTACCAACACAATTAATGTAATGCAATAAAGACAACATTATTATTTTTGTATGGAGAGGCTGTCTGGAAGATTAACATCTGTCTTGACGGTTGTCTTAACCCTCAGTCTGGCCGTAGTCTCCCAGCATGATAAATGCCATCAATAGCTCACCAGCAACGAAGAAGGCAAGACAACATAATTGACTGCGTTTGAGAGGCAATCCCAGTTTTATGGCCGTAATACCAACTTTACTGCTGAACTACCACCAAAGGAACAGGAGCTGAGGGACATTGTGTTTAATGTCCTTATAAAGTCCAATTTCAAGTTTGTGTGTGTGTGTGTGTGTGTTATTCTATGCATAGTGACTGATTGCTTCTCACTTCATTGACAGACAGTTCCATATTTAAAACCAAAAAGCTTCTACTCAGCAAAGCAAGAGGAGTCAAGCACTTCTACGGAACATCAGAGACTGCAGTGATGTGGAATGGCAATAAGGGAGAAAAATCAGGCCTAATTAAATGTGTTTTTTCTATTAGATTGCAGGTTGTAAATAGGACTTTGTGAACAAACAAGGCCCGGTTGGACACTGTTATTCTACATTTGCATAATGGCTGTCCTGAACTAGGCTGTTCCAGTTACACAGCAGGATATGTACATAATGAAACCAGAATCTGCAGACACCACCTGCAAGCTGAACCTGCAACCTTTAAGGTACTACCTAAGTTCCCCTCACCCTGGCATCACAATGCCACCATGGTACCTCTCTAGGAATTTTCAGCCCCAACTTGAAGATTTTGATTGGTGTGCTGGCGAGTGCCAGAGAAGACATGTAGCATTAGGGCATTAAGATCTGAGGGAGCCCTTTTACTCCCTGCTCTGGCTGTGGGTTTATGGGCATGGGTCCTGTA